CCAGTTTTAGTACCATGCAGTTTTGTAGGATAATTTGCCAGTTTTTAGAGGCTAGTTGCCAACAGACATGCAACGTTTAAATTAATCACAAGCCACCAGACCAGGAGGATCAGTTCAACAAGGTACCTAAACATTTGCCTAACTTGAAGCACATCAATAGTCCCAATGGGTACTTTGTAGTACCTTGCTCAATTAGAGATCAGGACAGCCAACTCTCTGCCTTCACAAAATGTTTATACACATACATTCTCCCCCCCTCCAACTGTAAATTATCCACTTTGGATTTGAAAAATAACCCTTTGGAACAATTGTGTCATACACTAGATCAATAAGCTTGGAGGACTATTTACTCTTTACAAACGTTTTACTTTTTTCTTTTAGGAAAATTAACAGTTTATAATTCTTGTTGCTAAGAGTGAAAGGGGAGAAAAATGGGGAATGGAGGCCACACCCCAGTGCTCTGGGAGGAACTAGGATTATCATGGTCAGTGAAAACATAGTTAATCTTTGGTTAGGCTTGGATATATATCCAGCATATAGTATGGGGCAACGTGGTCTAAAAAAAGGAACTGGTCAAAAAAAGGGGTCTATTTCTATAGCAAACTCTTTTTGCCAAAAAAAAAAGAAGAAGAAGAAAATGAAACCACACATTTTTGGTCAAAAACGGAAACATTTTCAGCCAAAACCCCAACATTTTTGCTCTTTGTTATTTTGATGAAAATTCAATAACTTTCAGGAAACAAGCACTTTCTGAGAAAATGTTCATTAGTCAAAACTCCAATTTTTAACTAACCCCAAAATATAAAGATGTCACTTTAATAATGAGTCACGAAGCCATGAGTGAGTTATGCAGATCATGCCAAATGAGCACTGATGAATGCTTTATAAACACAGGATACGATTAGGTACCCTGTGTATGCCTCATGTTAGAGAAACTATTTTAGGAATGTTTTGGCGAGTTTTTAAAACATTATTGGAACTCTTATCCCTGCATCCTTATGTTTTCGTTGCCATAAAACTCACTGTACATGACTCAAAGGGAAAGAAAAACATTCAAAAATAAAGCTACATCATCTCCAAAATTACCTTAAAAAATCACTTTTTCCTACTTACATATATGATTCACCTATCTTGGGACCATCCAGTGATAAAAGTGAGTGCGATGTCTCACTGGGAACTGGACATCTCACTTTTAAAATCTCCTGGTTTTGCCACCGCAGTAACACCAGAAATTTGACTTTAAAACTGTGACATGATGTTTGAAGAAATTGCAAGTGGCATGGGCCTGAGCCTGAATTTCACTCATCGTGGGCCTCAGGCAAATGTAATTTTGATGGAGAAATTCCACATTTGGGAGTGGAAGCAGGAAACCTTTGCCTGATAGATTTAAAAAAAAAAGGCAACTGATAATTTTGTGATATTACATCATATGATGTAATATCACAGCCACGTGATACATTTTAGAGCTTTGAGATCATTGAATTTAACATGCAGCTTTGATTGTCTCACCTGCATGCTGTCCAGCAGCCTACAACTCCTGGACCTTAGTCTAATATCCCCAACTCTTAATCAGCTTCAATATTTGCATAAAAAAGTCCTAGAAAAATTCATTTTCCCTCAAAATGAGGAACTTTCCCCCAAAATTATATCTCCCCAAGGGCCAGGATGAATGGTTTAGTTCTTTACCAGTGATCAGTTTTATACACACACAAAATTGTCATTGTTTTAAAAGTCTGATATCTAGGGTCCCTGTAGGGCAAGAAGCAGGAGACAGGTTCCCAACTTCCCCAGGGTAGTTACAGCACTTGCCCTAGGAGAACCTAGGACAACGGACATTAAATTCAGGACAATTTCATGTATAAAAAGTTAAAGTGCGTCTTTTTTAATACAAAGGACACAATAGCTGCTAGGAAACACTATTGATTATCAACTCAGGGATATAATTCCTTTAATGGATCCTAGTGTTTAAAACTCTAGTGATTTATGTAGGAAAAGTCTATTTTGTATACTCTTTGGGACATCTGTCTACTAGCATCTGACCCCACTGTGGCCTTCCTGTGTGCTTCTGTCTGGCTCTGAGAGAGTACAGGCTTGGACAGCCATTAACGAAGAAGGGAGTCATCTCCTCTGCAAGTGACGTATCTAAACAAACATTATTCCTGTTGTTACCTAACCCTGGATCTGGTGTGCATCTGTCTGTTTCCCTGCTGACACAACTATGCTGGCAATGAGATGGCCCAGTCACACAATGCAGAAATACCTGGTCTTCTTCTGTTTTCTCTCTGACTGAAGCAGACTGTGCAACGAATACAATGGCTAGAGAGAATTAATGACTTTTGATTACCTGTATGTAGAAGGCAACAGTTCAGAATTCAGACTTCAGAAGAATATAGAAGCATGTGGAAGGTGTGTAGCGTTTGGATTCTTTTCTTCTTCATCCTTAAAACATGAAACTAAAGGAACAGTCTGTGATAAGAACCACCATGATCTTGTAATAAAGTTTCTGGAAAGTTGGTGTATGTTTGGTCTCTAGCGTCATCCTTCAGCAGCAAAGTGAAACATTTTTTATAAACATTAAAATGTAAGTGGGTATGCACCTGTAGGGCCAGGTTCATTATTGACACCTTATAGTTCTGCTCCAGTGGTGTGTAAAGATACTTCGCATTCAAAGCGCCAGTCCAATTTAGCTGACACAACTGCTATATGCCTTTTCAAAAGTATAGGTTTAAAAGAGAAACCCCAGCTAAATGCAAAGCCTCTATCAGCTCCACTTCTGTTCAGCTGAATGTCTGCTTTCACTGCAAGTTTTGTTTAGAAGTTCCTGTCATCCTTACCCAGAATTCCCACGCATTTTTTCTACTCTCTGTGCCCATTGCACTATATCCAGGATTAAATCACTACTAAAAATAGAAAACTTGTCAATATAGGGCCAAATTTCCAAATTTAGGCAGCAGTATAAAAATCTAAGATAAATAGGTGCTCATCATCAAAGTATCTGAGCCTATTCCACAGAAATTAATAGAAATAGCAGATTCCCTAGTGGACTTCACTGGGTCTCTAGCACTTCTCCCTTTATTGGATCTGAACTCTGCTTGGACTTGGTTTGATTTTTTTGTGGAGAGGGGGTTGGGATGGTGTTGGGGGAAAATGGATGTTTGAATTATGTCACCTGCACATATGCAATTATGTGCATCTTACGTCCACAGCTTTTTTGCATCCTGTGTCTATGCAAAAAAAGCCAATTAAACTTTTAGCTGGTCATGCATATGCTCTCAGTGGTATTTGTACAATAAATCAGGTATGTTCCAAATACATGCAGGCATTTGGATTTCTCTAAATTTGGGAATCTGGTATTATGTGCTGCAGTCATTACCCAGGTTTCAGAGTAGCAGCTGTGTTAGTCTGTATTCGCAAAAAGAAAAGGAAGACTTGTGGCACCTTAGAGACTAACCAATTTATTTGAGCATAAGCTTTCATGAGCTACAGCTCACTTCATTGGATGCATTCAGTGGAAAATACAGTGGGGAGATTTATATACATAGAGAACATGACATTTATACCACAGGAATCCGTTCTAACAACGTGGTTAACAGAATTAGAGATAAAGCCTATAAAGTGGATCAGAGCACATATATTTTCAGAAACTTTCTGACAGAGATGATTAGTCCAAAAATATACTTTATCAACTCTAAGTGTTACTTTGAAGAAAACATGCAGTACCTAGGTGCTACTTTAACTATAGAAACATATTGTTCTTCTCTTCAGTGATGTAACTAGAAATTACATTAACAACTGAAAAGGAGTACTTGTGGTGCCTTAGAGACTAACCAATTTATTTGAGCAGTCTCTAAGGTGCCACAAGTACTCCTTTTCTTTTTGCGAATACAGACTAACACGGCTGCTGCTCTGAAACCTGTCATTAACAACTGAGAACTTGAAAATGCTTTTTAGTTTTTTACTTATCAGAACTTCTCTGTTCCTTATTTCCTTACCCCCGAGCAGGCAAACTGCAGCTAAATTTAGCAATTACTCTACTGAAACTGCAAAAATGTCACTTCAATTTTCCATCAACATCTTGTTTTGACATTAGCTATTTTGGGGTGATAATGAAGCAAACATTTTGGGGTACCAGATGGCTGAGAGGGTGACTAATGAGCAGCAGTGCTTTCCTCCCCTCCTCCCCCCAGGTCACTGATTCAAATCCTGATATCAGCCCGGCAGTGACAAAGTCATTATGATTTCATGGCTATACAAAAAACAATGAGCTTGGTTGTTTCATAACTGTTCCTTGTGGGTCAGTATCCAAATGATAAAAAATAAAATTATAATGGTACAGCCAATAGCAGTCTGAGCAGAGACGGAAAGAGATTAGACATGGAGACTTAACTGCAGTTTCCATTCAGTCCTAACAGTGGTGACTTTCTACAACAGAGCTGAAGCATATTGGCAGGGCATCATGGGGAAGCTTAGACCTTTTGCTGCACTTGTTCTGGGGATGGATTCAGCAGCTTTGTTTCCACTGCAGTCAATCTGACCCCTTTATATAAACACTAAAATACCTCAGTGCATATACATATGCACCAATATATTATATTATATATACACACATAGACATACATACACACACAATAATGTCAGATGAACAGGGACAATTTAACATTCCCAACTGGTTTCTCAGCTCCACAGAAAAGGAATGCTTGGTGCTGGAATGCTCTAAAATAATTCAGTTAGTAATCCTGGAACCAATACAATGAAAGCCTAGAAAAGCTTCCAAGTTATGCCCCTTTCCAGAATCTTGGGAGAATATGCCCTTAATTTTCCAAATAGAAATCTGAATTGTGTTTTTCCACTTTCTTCCCAACATTGTCGTCACCATCTCATTGATGTGAACAGTGGCACTGAATAAACAGCATCCCCTATAATATAAGGGAATTGCATAAATGTCAGTGATGGAAAATAGTGCAATTCTGTGGCGGTTCAATGATGAGACAGAACACAGCTTTATGCAAGCAAGCAGGCTGGTCAGCTGAAATGGGCTGCTGCCCCCAGCTTTCCACCTTCCCCTTTTATTATATTTCTCCCCCCTATGCATTACATACTTCTACCGCAAAAAGACACACAAAGGAATGTATGACGTTGATTAATATACTTATTTACCAACTTTTATCTACTACAATCCTGGTTCTCAGGCCTTGAGCCCAGGCTAAGAAAGCTTACCACGGTCACTGTCTTTTAATCAACTTCTCATGGTTCATATCTAGTCCTTGTCCTTGGATAGAGCAATGTGTGCATTGCTTCTACAAAATAGTCAGGGTGTGCCCTGACTGTTTCCAGGTGGAATAACTAAACATGAACCCTTCATCCCCCCGTTTTTGTTTAATTATACTCAGCCATCTCATGGTAGCCGTCAATTTGCTTTGGCATGCTATTTAACTCCCAGACAGACAAGGACATAACTCGGGGAGCTTGCCAGGGCGAATCTCCACAAAGTCTTAGCAAGGAGGGAATACATTGTACACAGCAGCAGCAAAAAATAAGCCCAATGATCACAAACACAGCATAACCGAAAAGTTGTCGCAGCCATTCTAGAGAGGGCAGCCAACCTGTAAGCCAATTCCAAAAGCCCTCAAACCCCAGATCCTGGCGTATGTGTGCCGTAAGATTGGCCAATTCGGCCAGTCTACTTTCTATGGAATAACTATTATCAGTTAAATTAAAACAACACATATGCCGAAATGTGGAACAGCCTATGTGATGTTTTAAGAGCAGAAAATCAATGGCTGCCCTGTTATCCAAGATTGCATCCCTTAATTCATGTTGCTCTGTGTTAAGTAGGGCAATTGCTTGGGATGTTGTATTACTTGCCTTTGCTGCAAAGCATGCCAGGGTATTTAAGGTTCTGGCTGTATAAGTGGCAAGCGCGGGGACCCCAACAATAGAGGCCGCTAAAGCAATATACTCAGCACGACTAAAAAGCTCAACATCTGCAACTCAATTATCTGAAAGGGGTACACTTCTTTTACTACGCTTTTGACTGGCAAAAGGCAATATAAGCGTCATTCTACTAAGACAGCAAAGGGTGCCATCACTTAAATTTGCGGGAATATAACTAAAGGTGCGTGAACCACAAGTAAAAAACCACCCTGATGGTAGGATGATATGGCCATAATTGTATGAAACATTGACAGCATGGGAACAATTTAAAAGGGGTTGAGAAATTTTTCGACAGCCCAAGGGCACCTTTGTACTAGTGCAGTTAACCACACGCGCACAGGTGACATTGTCAGTCCCGGCCGGGTACGGTGTGTGGAGGGATATAGCCGTGTGAGGCAGAGTATAGTTGGCCGGGCCCCAATTAGCCATGCCAGAGTACTGGGAAGAGAGATTCGCATAAGCAGAGAGCATTGTCTTATTCCCTATCTCCTCAGGGTGATGACATACTGGAATAAGGCATGTACCTAACAAATCTCCGGCTGCTACAGAATCAGATAAACAAAAGTGGGTAACATTTGCTATTGAAGCCAATCTTTCCCATATATTATATGTCATTCGGGCTCGTAACGGGGGAATCGCTCCCGAGCCAACCCCTACAGGAAATAGCACGCACAAAAGGCATACAATCATCACAGAATTAGCAGTGATTTGGGCGAGAATCACCACAAACAAAGTCTCAGGAGTCTCTGGCTGTTGATCTGCTGCCAGCCTTCGTTGGGCCGCGGCAACCAATGCTTTTACTGCTCCCCATGTCACGGACCGGCTTGGGATGCTACGCCTCCTCCGTTTCCATCCTGCCGTTGTCGACTCGGGAGGCAACGCGGTCTCCTCCAAGGTCAGCTGAAACTCTGGTATGGGGTTCGACAGCCCCTGGTGCCATGCCATGCTGTTTCAGTGCCGGTCGCACACACCGGGCTGGAACCCACAACGGTCCTGCAGGGAGAGACACAGCAGCATATCCCCGACCCCAAGTGATTAGAGGTAGTGGGCCCAACCATTGCGGATCGGGCAGCTGACGGTAATAGACACGCGGTCTTTCCAGTACCTCAGATTTGTGAAAATGCCGATCCGCGGGGGTCTGCTGATCTGCATTCAGTGTTAAATTATTTAAAGTAAACAAAAGGATATGCATTTGTTGTTGAATGTCTCCTAAGGTTCGGAGACGGAGCTCCCCTTGTTTTAATTGTTTATCAAGCAAGGTTTTGAGCGTGCGATTGGCACGTTCAACAATGGCTTGGCCCATGGAATTATAAGGGATCCCATGTTTAAGACGGACGTCCCATCGGGCACAAAAGGTGGAGAGGGCTGTGGAGCAGTAGGCTGGGGCATTATCCGTTTGAAGCTGGCTTGGGCGACCCATAACAGAAAAGCAGGCCAGCAAATGGTGAATAAGTTTGGCAGTGGCTTCCCCACAGTGTGGGGTTGCCCAAAGGAACCCTGAATAAGTATCAATGGAAACATGTAAAAACGAATAGGGGAGGAATTGTGGCACGTGAGTGACATCCATTTGCCATAGCTGATTTGCTGCGGTACCTCTGGGGTTAACGGCATAAGAAAAGGTAGGAGCAGCAGCAGCACAGTGGGGGCAGGAACGAACAATGGAACGTGCATGATCAGCAGGAATGTGAAACTGCCGGGCCAAAACAGAGGCAGACTGATGAAAAAAGGCATGGCTTTCAGTGGGGTCAGAAAAAAGGGAATTTACCTGACCACGCAACGCGCGATCGGCGCGCGCATTGCCCTCAGTGAGTGGCCCAGGCAGAGGGGTATGACTGCGAATATGAGCTACAAAATAAGGGAAATTACGAGTGGCGATGAGATACTGCAAAGACAAAAACAGGCGAAGGAGGTCCGCATCAACCTGAGGGGTAATGAGGGCAAGGGGTAAATGATCAATTACCTGATAAACATAATGGGTATCCACAATTAAATTAAAGGGACAATCAGCAAAAAGTTGAAAGACCAAAATAACAGCAGCCAATTCTGAACGCTGTGCGGAACGCTGAGGCAGTGTAAAACGAGAATGCCAACGAGGGGGTTTACCCAATTGATAAGTGACAACACCTCGGTGTGGAGAGCCATCAGTAAAAAGAGTGACAGCAATGGGTTGAGAGCGGAAACAATGGGTTGAGAGCGGCTAAGACGATGGACAATTAGGGGCACCTTTTGGGTAATTACCAACCGAGGATCTTTTGGGGGATTATAAGAAATCTCTCCCACATAATCACAAAGAGCAACCTGCCAGGCCAAGGAGGTGTGGCACAAAGAATCAAATTCACTATGGGACAAGGGGAACACAATGGCAACTAAATCAGTGCCAGTGAGTTGCACTGCACGGTGGCAGGCTTTACGAACAAGATCAGACAGGGCATCTAAATATGGATAAATATTCCGAGGAGGAGTGGATGAGAGGTATAGCCACTCTATAATAGAGACGGCTGTGTCCGTACGGGGTACAAACAGAGCCGCAGTGGGTGTATGAGGGGTGGCAAGAAGAACCAACCGTAGGGGACGGACCTCTGGGAGTCTGTCCACAAACTGCTGACTCAATGCTGCATTGATCTGTCGAATGCAGGCAATGTGCTCCGCAGTGATGGCAATAACTGCACTCGGTGCCCGGGCTCCACGTAGGAGTTCGAACAACGGCTGCAGCATTGAGGTGGGGAGACGAAAGTAGGGCCGAATCCAATTAAAATGACCCAAAATCTGTTGAAATTTAACAAGGGTTAGGGGTTGAGGTAAAATTAATTCCGGACGAACCGGAGCAGCATAGGTTTGTAAAACCTTATGTCCGAGGTAGTGGTAGGGATAAGAGCGTTGGATTTTTTCTGGTGCCACTAACAGGCCATTTTGGCCAAGAATCTGAAACAAAGATTCAAGCTGTTGTGCCGTGACCTGGGGACCACTAAGCAAAATGTCATCCATATAATGGTAGACCTTTAACATAGGGTACCGGGCACGGAAAGGGGCGAGGGCCTGATCCACAAAAAGCTGACACAAGGTTGGACTTGCATTCCCTGGGGCAAGACCTTCTACTGATACCTTTGAGAGGGTTGCTGATTATTATATTGTGGCACCGTAAACGCAAATTTTTCGCGATCTTGTGGGCAAAGGGGGATGGTGAAAAAACAATCTTTTAAATCTAACACACAAAGCTGATCGGTTTGAGGAATTAAATTTGGATTTGGTAAGCCAAACTGCAAGGGGCCCATAGGTTGGATGCGTTTATTTATTTCCCTTAAATCATGTAACAGCCGCCAAGCACCAGATTTTTTCTTGATAACGAACACCGGGGTGTTCCAGGGACTAGTGGAGCTCTCCAAGCGCTGTGCCTGCAAATGCTGCTGCACAAGCGAATGAAGCGCTTTCAGCTTTTCTAGAGGGAGGGGCCACTGGTCAATCCATACGGGCTCTAAGGATTGCCATACCAAGGGTAATGCGGAGGGCACGGTGGGTGAGGGAGGGTTTTGGGCCATCAGATATTAATATCGAGGGTGGTGTCCAGCTTTGTAAGTAAGTCACGGCCCCAAATATTGAGGTGGACAGGGAGCACAAAAGGGCGGATAGTAGCAAGGGTACGGCCTCCTGGTTTAGAGACTGTGACCCAAGACAAACTCTGACGCCCGGGTTTACTACCCCCGTTCCCCCACAACTCTTTAGAAGGAACCGTAGGCCAACTGACTGGCCACTCCGGATCACGAATCACCGTAACGTCAGCTCCAGTGTCCACCAGCCCTGTAAAAGGAACATCATTTAAGAGAAGTGTTAACTGAGGTTTCGAGGGGTGGACTGACATTGTCAGAGCAACAAGTGGAGAGGACGTGCTGTGAGACGGCGAGTGAGACAACGTTGATCCAAAGCCGCCTCCGCCCCGAGTGCGATTCTCGGCAGCTGGCACCTGATAGGGGACTAAAAGCAATTGACCATCCACGCGGGAGCGACTGTGGAAGATGAGTCCACACCTGAACCTTAATAATGCCAGTGTAATCAGCATCAATGACCCCTGGAATGACAAAAAAGCCCTGTTTCCCAGCATGTGAGCGAGGGAGAATGAGACCCACAAAGCCGGCAGGGAGAGGTCCCGTCACCTGCGTAGGTATGGCGCAGACCTCCCCTGGCAGCCGAAAGTCAGTGTCCTCCGGCATGATCAAATCAAGCCCTGCACTTCCAGCAGTCGCCGCCCTCATAGAGTCTACGGATTTTAAGGCAGAGGAACGGATGTCTGAGTGGGAAACTCCCCTGTTTGGCCCTGGGTTCAGGGAGGACCCGTCGTGCGGTTTCCCGACCCGCTACGACACTGATTAGCCCAGTGATAACCCTTCTGACACTTGGGGCACTTCTTTGAGGGTCGGGCGGGTGCCTTTGATGAGCGGCACTCCCGCTGAAAGTGACCTTCCTTACCACAGCGGTAACAACACTTCCCCTCCTTTCCGGTTTTTCTCAGGGCAGCAGCCAGAACTCCAGCCTTATGGGCTTGTGTGCCGATGTTCTGGCACGCCCGCAGCATGTCTGACAGCTCTAAAATGCCAGAGGCTTGCGCCGTCTGGAGAGCACGGCGGCAATCCTCGTTTGCATTTTCAACCGCCAGTTTTAACAGGATCTCCTGAGCTGCCTCAGTGTTATCCACCTGTCGGAGGATAGCCTCCTGCAATCTGTTGGTAAAATCCAGAAAGGACTCTGATGCACCCTGACGGATACTGACAAAGCTTTTGGTAGGCTTGCCTGAATCCGGGACCTTCCGGAAAGCATGCTGGGCACAGGTGGAAATAATGGGGAAGACGGCCTGAGGGAGTTGAGACTGCATCTCAACAGTAGCAAACTGGCCCTCCCCTGCCAAATGCTCATAAATGACACCTTGCTCTCTATATACCTGGGCTTGGCGTTCCGCCATCTGCCGATACTCACTAATCCAAATAACATACTGACTGGGTGTTAACATCATGCGCAACAGCGCCTTCCAATCTTCAGGGATTAGGGAGTACCCAGTACCTATCCCTTCAATGAGACCACGCACAAAGGTGCTAGTCAGGCCGAACTCGCGAATTGCTTTCTTTACCTCTCTAACCACTGAGTACGGCAAAGTGGCCCAGGTTCCAACGGGGTTGCCCTGGTCATCATTCTGCCAGGTCACCGGACAAACTGAGACCAGATCAGCCAGCTCCTCCGCTGTAATATCTGAGCAAGTTTTCGCTGCGTGAACCATTTGTTGCACCAGCGAAAGCCGCTGAGCAGACGCGGACAACCCTCCGGGGGGCCCCGAAACATGGGGCCCCACGGGGGGAGGGTGATCACACAGCGGCTCCGGTGGGGAAGGCCAGGGAGGCGGTGGTAATAGAGGCACTGGGGGCAAAGCAGGGGGAGGGATGGCTGCAGGAGCGGATGGGGGTGGCGGGATCGGCAGCCCCTCTGTTGGCGCGGGAGAGGGCCTTTCCGAGGCAACACGTTGTGCTGCATCGGTAGAAGGGGGGATGGCTGCAGGAGCCGACGGGCGTGGCAAGGTCACCAGCCTCGCGAGAGAGGGCCTGTCCGAGGCGACACGCAGTATCGCGTCGCGGCAGAGGTGCCAGGCATGTAAAGCCTGCACGGGTGCCCGAGGCTCTTCGTGCAATGTCTGGCCCAATCGCTCCCAGTCCGCTAGCTTAAGGGTTCCGGCTTCAGGGTACCACGGGCACTGGGCACGCACCTCCTGTAGCAGGAGAGTGAGCTCTCTAGTGGGACAGTCATGCTGAGCCTTACGCAACAAATACTGTAGCTCACTGCGGTGTTGCACTTGCAAAGCAGAGAGGGAGCTTCCCATACTTACCACAATGAAAAATACTCACCGGGATCCATGAAGCGGATGAGTGACGCGTCTGAAACCCTTGCCGGGCGAGGTGAGTGCTGAGGGTCCCATGTTTGGGTGCCAGTTGTGGCGGTTCAATGATGAGACAGAA